ACCCTTCAGACAAAGCAACTTCATCCCTCTAGGACCCCGGTCTCTAGAGAAAATGCACTTCATAGCACGGCTCTCCAGGAACACTGCCACTCCATCCACTGGCTCCAACCAGCCCTATCCGAGGACAATCAGTAGCAGATCTCATGCCTTGCCTCTGTGATCAACAAGGCGGCAAGCAGTTCAAGGAAGGCAAGGAAAGGAAAGGGAAGGACAAAACAATGGGCACAAAAAAAGGGAAGAATTAGAAAGGCTGTGAGCAGGGCAAGGGCTGGAGGCAGGTCCATGCTGGCCACCCATGCTTCAGCCTTCAGGGCTGCCGCAGAGAAGCTGCTGCTGGCGTCTGGGATTTACACACCAGCACCCAGCACATGGCTGTTCTGCACCCTGACCAGCAATGCCGGGGGCAAGGACTCACTTCCAGGCAAAGCCAATGCCAGATGTCACAGGTTGCAACATCCAAAAAACCCCGCAAGCCCACATTTGGAGTGCAGAGGGTCGGACCTCTCCCTCTGAGTCAGCTCTGGGGGCCACTGTAGATCCTCTTTACTACCAGACCCTAGAAGGAGCCACATCTGGTGCAGAGACACATGGGACATTGGTCTTGGTCCTGGGCCCAATGCTGCAACATCAGCAAGCCACTTCCATCCCACTCACCATCCTCCCCTTCCCCCAGAGGGGAGAAACCCAACATTGAGTCTTGGGAGCTGGCAGAGGTTTCTTCTTCAGCTCTTCCTCTTCCCAAGCCAAAGGAGGAAGAAGCAGCCTTCCCCCTTACATCCATGTGCTGGATGTCTCACTGGGCAGCCTGTTCCCCACGGTGAGCTGAGGCTGGGAAAATGGCTGAGCTCGCTGGGGCTGCTCTCCCCACACCATCATCCCTGGAGCCAGCTCTCCAGGACATGATGACTGTTGAGGAGCTCTTTTCTCAGGCATTGCAACTGGATGAGACGCGGCCTGGCAAGAGAGGAAGAGGGGAAAATCCCCTCTGTGCCTATTGTTGATCTTGCAAATTTGGACTCTGAATAATTCAAAGCTTAATGCACGCAAGGAAATCCTCTGAGCGCTCCCGGACCCAGTTCCCACAGCTCTTGGCATATCCGCCATGTGTGCAGCTGCACCAGGTCCCACCATAACCCATCCCATGCTGACTGTGGAGGAGGGAGGGGGAGGATGGTGAGGCTGTGGATGAAGGCAGAAGGTGGTGATCTCCTCCTGCGAAGCAGGTGACACTGAGCTTTGCCTCACATCCCAAAGGCAAAGGGAGAAGGGAGCTCTTGTTCAGCAAGAGGGTAAACCCAGCAAAGTGGAAGCAGCCTGGCATCCCTGGAAAGCCACGGTGCCACTCCGACCCCCGGTGAAGGCAGGGTGCTGCAGGAGGTCTGGGGGAGCAAGATTGCTCCCCAGTGCCTCCCTTCTCCATCCTTCTGCTGACCCCTCGCCTGCCCCGATCTCTTCCACACTCCATCCTTCCCAGCAGCCCACTCTCCCAGGCTCCCTCCCCTGCCTCTCCCTTGCCCTCCATCCCAGAGCCCTCCCATCCTGCCAGGTTAATTTGAGTTCCTGATTTGCATAGGCAGCAGATCGCAATGTTCTGGAAATCCCCTCCTGCGGCTGGAGCTTCCTCCCCGCTCTCACAGCGTCACTGTCGGCCTTCTGCTTCCCTTCACTGCTGGAGCGCCAGGACGCATCTGATCGGCACGGGACAAGCAGCAGCCCCCAGCGAAACCCGCCGCTGATGCCATGAGGCACGCTCAGCAGCAGCACCCCACAACCCCCTGCACAGCTAAGCCCACGAGTGGCCCCGGTGTGCTGGGCCAAACTGGCTGCACCCGCCGCTTGCTCTGCAGCTGCCCCTCTGCTCCTGCCTTGCTCTGGGGCCATCTCCCCGGCACGGCCGCCCGTGACAGCCAGGTCCTGGCTGGCCCCATCGCCCCATTAAGGTTCAAATGTGCTCCGTTCACCCAGCAGCACCGCAGGCGGGTGGATTTATTGGGCGCCTTGGGCTGCTGGGCCACCTCCGCTCCAGATTCACACCACCGGACATGCATAAAGCCCACCCTGCTCACCCCTGAGTGGGGTCAACCTGAAGGCAGCTAGACCTGATCCGAAACAAGCAGGAGCAGAGGGCGGGAGAGCTCTGCCGCCCCCACCCATGGCCTGTGCTCCTTCTCACCCCATTTCCCGCAGCGTGGCCGCAAACACGGAAGCAATCAGGGTGCCTTCACGTGAACGAGCCTCCGCTGAAGGTGCTGAACCCAACCGTCTGTGCCAAAAAAAACCCTAGTATGTAAAAGTGTCAGCTATGAACACATCTTCACTGCCACGCAGGCGTGCTCATGAATCACAGCTGCCGTCAGGTGAGTTTTCTCCCCTGGGAGCACGGTGGGACAGAAGGAATGAGGAAGGACCAACAGGACCAAGAGCTTTTGGTTTTCACAGTGAAATTCACCCCGGTGTTTGGGCCAGCCCGAGCTGGCAACCTCAGCAGAAACACAAAGAGCAGCTGGCTAGAGAGGTGGAGAGGCACTGAGTGAGAGCCCGACCACCTCCACAGGTACCTAGGCTGCAGGCAGGCCCCAGACCCCATGGCTCCTCACCCCTCCGGCCAAGCACCCATGCTCCTACCACCCAAACCAGCTGGACTAAAGCAGGGCACTTTTCAGGCCTCACAGTTCACACCTGGTGAGTATAGACCAAACGCCCTGCCAGGTACAACTTTGTGCCTGCTGGCAAGGAGCTGGGGAACTGGAATCAGCCTCTGTAAAACAGAAACACTTAAATCCTTGGTGTTTATTCCAGCACCAGCTGGCTCCAGGCTTGGTTCTGACCATCAGCCGTCTTGGTGGATGGTTTCCAGGGACTACCTGCAACCCTGGCACACCGTCACCTGTCCAGCTCCACCAGCAGAGACAGCTCTTTCCCAGGAAGACGCATCCTGTTCTGACTTGAGAGATGGATGAGGATGGGATGGAAACACACATGGGACAATGACGATGCCTCTTGCAAGATGCAGCAGGTTCCCTGGGGAGAAGCACAACATGTTTGCAAACCCAGTGAAGCTGCTCAGAAACCAGGCGAGAAGAATGATGTAACCAGGCTCTCCAGTTGTCCAAAAGTGAATCACAGCCTCCATGACAGCCCCCCCCCCCACCTTTTGCTGACTAATACCTGACACAGCTCAGCAGCCCCTGGAAGGAATGGCACAGGAGAGCCCTTTAAGCAGTGCCTGGCTCCTTATCAAAACAACGTAGAGGCTGTCTGGGGCCTCCATCATGGGGAATTCCCCTTCTCCATGCCTAAAAGTAAGCTCAGCTGGGCTGGCCTTCCTGCATTTGGGGATTGCAGCCGGAGAGCGCCTGACCCAAAGGGCTCTCACCCACCCTGAGCCCCTCCGCAACCCTGCTGGGTGAGTAGAGCAATGCTTTTCTCGGTGCGAGCGTGCCCAAGATGGAGCAAGGAGAAGGCAGACAGCTTTTCGGCTGTGAGCGTGCAGTACTGTGAAGCAGGGCCATGCCACCCCCCTCCTCTCCTCACAGAAACAGAGCAGGGTTTGGCTATTTTTTGCAGGCTGAGACATTATCTTATAAACAAGATGCTTTCTGGTTCTGTGGGGCTGCATTTAGCTTTGAAGCCAGGTTTTCCAAGCGTTTACAGAACAGCACTGGGCTTCTGGGGTAAAACAAGCCCTTTGGGGAACAAAAGGGAGGACATTGCTTGTGTGTGGGATCCTGCTTTCTTGTCCCCCGTTGAGACCTCAGACACAAGCATAGCCAAAGAGCACGTCGGGGTCCCAGCACCCACTGAGCTGTCTCGTAACCCAGCCAGGCTGCCGGGGCAGCGTCCTGGTTGAAGGGCAGTCAGGTAAAGGAGTTAGAGTTCTTTTAATTTTTACAACCCAAAACATCAAATCACCAAGAAGTGGTGAAACTGTCTGAACAGAGCCAAGTGGGACGCAAGGACTGGGACAGCTGGAAACAGCACAATTGTCAGTGAAGGACACCTCTGCGAGCCCAGCAGCAGTCACCTAAGGAGGAAGTATCAGGAGTACAGGCAGAGAGCAAGCAGCATGTCTGCTTACAGCAGGCTTGCTTTGCTTTTGGTTTGTTGTTTTATGTATTTATATATATAAAAAACACCTTCCCTGTGGCAAAACCAACACAAGAAACAAAATCAGGTAGCTGTGGAGCAAGTCCCAAAGAGACAGATGAAACCAGAAGGCATTCCCTGTGGTTCTTGCTCCTCTGGCTGATTTCCGTTGTTCACTAACGCACAATAATCAAAGCAGCGGCACAGAGGAAAAGGATCCCCGATAATAAACACCCCAGCTAGGGGGTGTAATTTCCTTGTATAACGTTAACTTGACACAGACTCGGTGGGGAATTCTCCCTGCCTCAGCTGCTGAGGAGGAAAGACCTGGTAAGCCTCAGCAGGCCTGCGGGAGCACGCAAGCCTCCTTCCCGGGGCACCCGGGGCTGAGGGGAAAGCCTAGGACTGCCACAGCCCACCTGCCCGAGCGGCCGAGGACCTGGGGCCTCCTCAGCACAGCCTCCCCTCGGCTACTCCTCCACACCCCAACCGGGCCGTACCCCACAAGCGGCACCGGGGCTGCCAAGGGATTCCTCCCCCCGGCAACAAGGCGCCGCGGCTGTGCCCTGCCCTCCCCTCAGCCCCGCCATTTTGTCTGTCTCTCGATAAGCCGGGGGAACCGCTGCTCGGCCCGGGCCTGCCGCTCTCCAACGAGCGGAAACCCCCCTTAAGGCAGAGACGGGCCTGCTCCTTCCGCCCCTCAGGGCCCCACTATGCCGCGGGGGGCGTCCACAGGACCCCGGGCAGCCCCACGGAACCCACAGGGGACAGCAAACAACCCCTCCACCATGACGAGCCACCTTCCCCCTCCACCTGCCCCGCCCTCCTTCTTTATACCCTCCGCCCCGCGCCGATTGGCTGCGGCGCCTGTCCGTCAGGCTGGGAATTTCCCGGGGGCGGAACCAGTGCCCCCCCCTACCCCAGCCCCGTTTCCTCCCGTACTAGCGGCGGACCGGGCCGGACCGGAGCGGAGCGGCCCCGGGAGCGGTCCCGCCTCGGGGGTGCACTGGCAGGTGAGCTCGGAGCGGTACGGGGGTTCTGCCGCCCTTGGGGAGAGGGTCCTGGCTTGGGGCACCGGGGTCTTACCGTGCACCGGGGATGGCGGCTGGGCACCGGGTC